GGCTGCAGGGCTTGGACGCCCGCTTGCTGGGCAGCCCCCTCGCGAGGCCCCAACGCAAATACAGGGACGGGCCCCAAGCACACAGGGACGGGTACCGCCGGGGCTGCCCGCACCACACGGAGGCTCCCTGAGCCAGGCCCTGACGTCCCTGGGCCACTTGCAGCCACCCCCCCCCCCTTCCTGCATTTAGTTCCCTGAAACATCCTACAAAGGCTTAGATGGTAAAGATCATTTACTGAATCCCCGTCACTGGGGAGACTGCAGTTACTGGAAAAGAAATGAAACATTCACGACCCCACACCGGTGACCACATAACGTCGTACTGTTTTGTCCTTTAGCTGCCACGAGAGCTGACTGGAGACGCTTTCAACGATCCTCCGTCATCCTAATGTTTCCTCTCGGGCATCTCTTGGCAAGAGACCTGAGGAGCCTCCTGGAGCATCGTCAGTGGTTCTTCGAGCCAGAACTCTGTGCTGGAGCCGACGGCGAGGCCGGTGCCTGGTGGTCCCCAGGGTCACCTCGGCTTAGTGACTGGAGGCGCTGGGGTCCCTATAAAGGACCTGCCGGCACCTGTGACCATCCAGGACATTTTTTCCTTGTCCTTTTGGCTACCCCTTCTTACTGGAATATCTCTTCGTACCGGAATAAGACAGGAGATTCCTGTAAAATGTCAGTAGGAGGCCAAGCGACCGAGCTAATACGGACCCAGCACCGACTCCACACCTGGCCCGGTGGAGGCGGCTTACACCTGTCAGGTTACTCGGTCCTCACAACACCCTGGGGACGTCAGCATGCTGTCCCAATCTTAGAGGAGGACAGGAGAGGTTCTGGGCAGGACAGGAGACTCACTACCTTCTTGCTGTGTGACCTTGGACAGGTTCCTTCGCTCTGGGTCATAGTTTCCCATTCGTAAAATAAGGATAATAATTCATATCCCTGTTTCCCAGCTCCGTGTGGAGACCTGGCCTGGAGTCCTGATGCTGCCCCATACTCTGTGATTTCAGGAGCGGGGGGTCCTTTCAGCCCTGAATCTGGAAACAGGAAATAGCTCAGTACCTGCCTCACCCGCACCTGGCTTAGAGTGAGCGCTTAGTTACTGAGGGCTTCCCGGCCCCACGTGCCTTCCTGCCCCTCACACCTGCTCACCTCACACCTGCTCCTCCCTGGGCTGCCTCCCCCAGCCCCACCCCTCCAGGCCTGGAGCCCTGACACCAGGAGGGAGGGAGGCACCTGCTGGCGCCACTGCAGCCCGGCCACCTCCTGGGTCTCCTGGTCCCTAATATGAGCTGATGTGGATGCCACCGCTCTGGCTGTCCCCTGCATCTCCAGCATTCCAAGTGGAGGGCGGACGGGACACTTGTAAGTGGGGGAGCTCCCTGGGCCTCTGGTCCCCTCTGCAGCGGTGAAGGTCATCGCAGACATCCCAGGGTTGTGGCCTGATACAAAGGCAAACTTCCACAGGCCTGGGCTGGATGCCCGAGCTAGGGGCTGGGCGGGCAAGCGTGGGGTGGCGTGGGCACTGCAGGGCGCGGGGCAAGTAATCCAGGGCCCGAGTCTGGGTTTAGGTCGAGGGGTCCTGGGGCGCAGCCCGGCTCTGTCACTTACCATTTGGGGTTTCTGTGCCTCGGTGTCCTCTGCTGCAGATACGGGAGCCCGTGTCCCAGCGGCGCCTCGAAGGGGCTCCCACGGGGTAAATCTGCCTCCATCCGCACCCCTCCCCGGCTTGCATCCCGTTCGGGGTCCTCCCTCCCCGCTCAGCCCGACCTCCCAGGCCGAGTCCTTTCTGTTCGGAGGCAACCACGGTTTGCAAGGAAGCTCATCCTTGAGGTCCGAGGCCGTGATCCCGGATGAGGCCCCGCGGAGCACACGCGCGCTCCCAGGATCGCCGCGACCGCGACCGGCGGGCGCTGTGCGCGGGGCAGGGGGCGCGGGCGCAGGTGCAGGGCCTCGCCACCAGGTGGCGCCAACGCCCCCCAAGCGCCCGGGCTCCGCCGCTGGGCCTCGGCTTTCCCGCCACCGACCCGCCCGCGGCCCGGGGACCAAGCCCCGGAACTGCAGTCCCGCCTCGACACCTCATCAAGCCGGAGCTGTGGGCTTGCCACTCACCCCGTCTACACTGCACTGAATGCGAGATCTGGAAGCTGGCACTGGACTCCAAGACACCGCCAGAACTGGGACCAGGCCAGGGTTGCAGTGCGGGGGAGACAGAAGCGAGGTCTCAGGGCCTGGGGGCTGCTCTCTGCAGGGCCGGTGGCTGGTGGGTGGACGCCGAGCCCCACACGCCCCCCCCCCCACCAGGCTTCTCAGGGCACAAAGGGCGGAAGACGGCTGGCCTGCATGCTGCCAACCCCAGGGCGCCCTCGGCCCCAGGAACCTGCCCTGGAGGACTCTCCCCCAGAGTGCCAGGCTCCAGAGCGGCCGGCCTCTGCTCCCCCTGGGGGAGCATCATCAGCACTGTGATTTGCCAAGTGGAGGAGCCACATCCCGGGGGTACCCAGCAAGGACTCCTAGCTGTCTCCCAGGATGCATTTCCCAGCCTCCCTCGTGGCTAGGGGTGGCCCACACCTATTCCTTGTTGGAATAGAAGGGAGCATCCCCATGTGTGCATCAGGTGTCCTGCCTTTAAAGGGGAGGGGCACCTGGGTGGCTCAGTGGTTGAGCATCTGCCTTTGACTCAGGTTGTGATCCCGGGGTCCTGGGATCGAATCCCACATCGGGCTCCCCGCAGGAAGCCTGCTTCTCCCTCTGCCTGTGTCTCTGCTTCTCTCTCTCTGCGTCTCTATGAATAAATAAATGAATAATCTTTTTTTAAAAAGTAATTAAATACAAGGAGAGGGGAGCACAGTCCCCTTTCCCAGCCAGGGAGTCCAGTCCCCAGACTCAGGGAGGAGGGCTAGTGAGCATCTTCAGCCACGAAGACAAGGCGGGTGCCACACCTCGGGGACGGCAGAGCAACAAGATGGAAGGAGCCTGGGTCCTTAACACCGGCGGCCTCCCTGCTGACACTAGGCAGCTAATGCTCCAGCCAGAAGGGGAAGGAGAAATGCATTTCTAGCTTGCTTCACGGTCACTTGAGGTTCTGAAATTCTGTGGCAACGTCAGCCAGGGCCATGTTCTGTCCCTGGACAGTCCTGTGCTTAGCCCCTGTGTAGCAGGTGCTCACTGCATGCTGGGCGCTCCCCTGGGCGGTCTATGCTGCATGACAAACCGCTCCAACCTCAACCTACATGCATGTCTTGCAGGTGTTACCTGCCACCACTGCCCTGCTGTGGCCTGAGGCCCATCCCCCTGCACCCTCTCACTGTTTTCCTAACTTCCAGGGGTGGGGGGCACGGGTATTGAAGCGTCTCAGCTGAGGTTTCTCTGCTGCTGTGGTTGATGCTGCGAGCACTTCCCGAGGAGGAGGGGCAGATCTTCGTGGGTAAACCCCAGCTTCAGGCTCCCGCTGCACCCACGTGTCCTGGCTGAGGTGTGGGTGGCACATTCCTGGCCAGCAGCCCTATCTAAGCTCCTGGTAGATCACCCAACTCCCCAGGTCCTACCCCACCCCCAGGGCTGGCAGTCACTTGTAGGGACCTGTCGCCGTCTCCCAGGCATCAGAGAATCCGCATTCCGGGCCTTTCCCCTTTGGACCTCCTGACAGCAGTTTCTCCCTCTGGCTCCCCCCAGCTGCTGGGCCAGGGAGAGCCACCTAGGTCCAGCTGAGCCAATCAGAATGTTCAAGAAATTGAAAAAGAACACAGAGATGAAGCAAAACATCAGAGCTAAGTTCAGAGCAGTATGGATAACAGACAGCAGGGGCGGCCAGGGTTTGCCGGGCACTTGCGTGCAGGCTCTGGGCCGGGCAAGCTCGGGAGCCTCGCGACCCTGTGACACGGGCCACTGGCATGTGGTCAGATGAAGACACGGAGGCTCACGGGTGAGGTGACTGTCCCCAAGTTATCCAGGCACGTGGCTCCTTTGGGATTAACCCCTCCAACCGGGTGTTCAGTCCTCTCCCCCTGCCGTCCCCACTGCCCTCCCCAAGGCGGCCCCTAATTCCTCCCTGCGCTCCTCCGGGCCCTGCCCCGCGGCAGCTTCTCCCCGACATTCTTTCCAAGCCCTCACTCAACTGGCCCCCTCTTCCAGGGAGCCTCCCTGTCCCTCGTCCACGGTGCCCTGGGCCCCCAGCACTCAGCCTGGACACATGTGGCGTCCCCTCTTCCGAGCGGATCGGCCTCCCTGGGGCAGGACCAGCCTCAGGCGGGTCCCCCAGAGTCTGCGCTGGGCCCCCTCGTGCGTACCCCCACTTCACGTTCCCAACGCTTCCTGGAGTGGGAGGCTTGGCACCTCTCCGTTCTCCAGGGCATGAAAAGGCTCAGGGAGGGATCCCTGGGTGGCGCAGCGGTTTGGCGCCTGCCTTTGGCCCAGGGCATGATCCTGGGGACCCGGGATCGGATCCCATGTCGGGCTCCCAGTGCATGGAGCCTGCTTCTCCCTCTGCCTGTGTCTCTGCCTCTCTCTCTCTCTCTGTGACTATCATAAATAAAAAATAAAAAAAAGGGAAAAAAAAAAGAAAAAGAAAAGGCTCAGGGAGACAAAACGATCCTCACTGGGTCACACAGCCAGGAAGTGGTTAGGCCACTAGCGAAGCCTGTCACCGACTCCTAGACCCTAGACCTGGGCTCTTCTCTGAATCACTTCCTTCGTTCCGCCATGAGGGTCCCAGGGGGTGGGGACGGGGCAAAGCAAGGGAGCCGGGACGGGTTGGGGTGGGAGGGGCCCAGAGCAGCTGGCTTCAGGGACAGAACCAGAGGACCTGGGCGGCCACCAGGTGCCTCATGCCACTCCGCAGGCGGTCAGCTTCCCCAGCGCCATCCGGGCTCCTGGCTGGGCCTGGGGCCCTGTCACGCCCTTCCCTCGGTGCTCTTGGAGAAACTGTGACAGGTGCCACGTTAACAGTTTGTAGTCTTTCCCCAGGTACCTATGAGGCAGGCTACTCCCCTGCTTTGTAACGTCCCATGGCTCCCGGCGCCACAGTGCTGAGCCCTACACTGGAGGAGCTCTGCAATCAGGCGCTGGCCCCTGCGTCCTGTTCCCCACTCCCTCTCCAGCACCTGACCCCCTGCCCAGGCTTCCAGGCTGTCTGCAAGCTGTTCCTGCAGCCTGGAATATCCTCCCCGCTGCAGCCTGGGTAACTCTTCTGACCCTGAGACCCAGCAGGAATGCCCCCTCCTCCATGAAGTCCTCCCTGCTCTCTGCCCCCCACATGGAGTCAGCTGTTGTTTCCTCAGCTTTTGGTGGATGGTCTGTTCACTTCACCCCCTGGATGGGCATCTGGATGGGACCCAGGGCTGGCTCCTCTCGCATCCCCAGAGGAGGTGGCTGAAGACACAATCACTAGCCTCACTTGCACATTTTATAGGAGAGCAAACTGCGCATGTTGAGGCTGGAGCCCCAGGGGTACAGATTAACAGGGACCTCAGGGTGGGGGACACACAGGCCAGTAGACGGCCAGGGCTCAGGGAGGGACGGGACTAGACCAGTTGAAGGCCAGAAAAGCTCTAGTGCCACCACGTTTCCCGTGGAGTTCCGTCCTCATTACAGGCCTTCGCACATGTTGCTACCATTGTCCTGTTTTGCAGAGGAGGAAACAGAGACATAAGGGGTGAGCTGACTTGACCCCGGTCACAGGGCTAGCGGGAAATAGTGTAGCATCGCATGTAGGACAAGGGGTGACAGTGTCACCTCCTTCTCAAGGCTCTTGCATACTTAAGAAGGTAACAGGTATGAAGGGGCTGGAACCCCGGGGGAGCTTGGCAAGTTGGTGGCTTCCTACCATCATCCCTAAGGGCTCAGGCAGGAGGCTGGCCTTGCCCTGGCCCCAGGGGCGTCTCACCTCCTTGGCCTTCCCAGGTTCACCCCGGCTCTGCTCCTTCTCTTCTCTGGCTTTGGAGAGCAGTGGAGACGTGAGCTCACTCTTCCCAAGAGCTTTGCCAGTGGCACGGAGCCACCAGGGAAACCCACTGCCCAGCTCAGAGCTTCTGTGGGTGGGGCGATGGGCTTGGGGTTCACATCCCAGGAACTCCTGAAGCCTGAGTCCACATGGGGACCTGTAACTGCCCAAGGGTCAGCTCTGCCATTCACTGGTGGGGTCACTCAAGTCACTGTGTGCCTCTCTGGGCATTACAAAATGGAACATTGGGACTGGGGTTCTGGATTCCACCTGCCAATCATTTCTTATCAAGTTGACCCACCCGTTCTTCCTGGGAAGGCCCCACAGGGAGCGCTGAGGGAATCCTGTGACATGCCCAAAGTCACCCAGTGAATGAGCAGAAGAAACAAAACTGGGTCTCAGAGCCACGCTCTCTCCTCTGCACGGGGTTTGGGATTCTTAGCTGAGGCTGTGGTCTTGCTGGGCTGGGGCCACACGGGCACTCAGCTGTGTCCTCCAAGTGCTTCTGGGGCGGCCCAGAGACAAGGATGGTTTAGAAAGCCCTGGGGCTCAGACAGGAAATCCGGGGCAGCCCGGACCCAGCCAGCCAGTGGGGCTGTTCCCAAACATCAATTCCCAGGGCTTGCTCTTCTGTGGCCCCGGGTGGGGCTGTGACACACAGATGACAGCTGCTCCCTCCCCATCATGGCTTTTGGAGAGGACATGGAGCCTCAGGTAGGCAGGGACCTCAGGGTGCCTGTGTCCGGTTCCCTGCCTCCCCAGAGAAGCTTGGGGGAGAAATGTCCACCACAGTGGCCCCAGGGAACATCTCTCTTCCAGGCCCCTCCTGGTTCAGGAGTGAAGGAGTCAGGGCCACACAGAGGCAGTTCCAGGCCACTGGCCGCCCACAAGGGCCAAACCAAGCAGGCCCCGGGCCCTCCCTCCGGGGAGGCGCCAGCACTTGCCAGTCTGGCTGTGTGTCTGCCAGCGGGTCTCGGCCTCTCTGAGCCAGCGTCCTCTTCTGTAAACTGGGCCTATCACTAGCTTCCCAGTTCTCAAGACAATCAAGTGGGCTTATATCGAGGGAGAGGATCCTTTTCTCATTGCTACCCCCAAATGACCCCAGGGGAGGTTTCTACAACTCCTAAATACCATCTTCTGTGCCCCAAACCTCAGCGTCAGAGGAAGGACCAACTGTCTGGTGGGCATCCACTTTATGCCAGGTGCTGACCATATGTGATGTGTGTTCTTAAGCTTCTAAACAACACTGGGAGGTAAGTATTTCCCCCCGTTTTGTGCAGATGGAGAAACTGAGACTCAGGGCTGAGTCCTTTCCTGTTCAGGCTGGAGCCCCAAGTGGTACAGATTAGCAGGGACCTCAGGGTGGGGGACACACAGGCCAGTAGAAGGCCAAGGCTCAGGGAGGGACGGGACAGGCCCAGTCCTCCCGTCAGAGCTCACCAGCAGGGGGACACAGGACGGAGGCTCAAATCCCAAACACTGATTTTCATTCTGTGTGCGGTGCTGCTAAGGGGAGGCTCCGGTCAGGGTGTGTAAGTAGGGGGTGGGGGTGGGGGCAGGGGGGAGTGGGGAGGGGCGAGGCTGACAAGCTCTGGGGACCCACAGGAGGTGCAGAGAAAGTCTGAAGGACGGCAAGGAGCCAAAGGGATGATCCAGAGTGGGAGTTCCTGGCAAGACTCAAGGCAGGGGCCAACCCCAAGGCCAGAGCACGGATAGGGGGATGGGGATGAGTTCAGCTACAAGGGAGGGAGGAGGGTGAGGGAGGAGGGTGAGGGGGCAGGAGCCACTCTGCAGGTGAGCAGGGATTTTAAACTCCCCAGACAATGCAGGGGAGCCACTGAGGGTTTTAAGCAGAGCGATTGGTTTAGGTCCAGGGTGGGAAGATGGTTGGTGGCCCTGTGCAGAGCCCTGGCCCCGGGGCAGGGAGAAGGTAGCTAATGGGGGATCCAGAGAGGAGGGTCCACAGGACTTGAAGGTTTGGGGCAGGGGTGAGCCCAAGGTGACCCCTGGTGGAGATGACCCTCTGGTGGGCAGTGGGGCCCTTTACAGAGGGGACAAGAGGAGGAGTAGGAATGGGCCAGGATCACTGCGAACAGGGAAAATTCTGGGAGGTGTCTGGTTGCTGAAAGTGAGGCTGGGCCCAGGCTGGAGGCCCCGAGGAAGAAAGGTCAGGAGGGGCGGGCTGGGCGAGCCAGTGGCAAATGCCAGGGCAGGTGGGGCAGCGACCACAAGGAGCTTTGGCCTCGAGCTGGTGTCCCCAGGAAAAGCAGCCGGGGGCGACAGAAACGCGGACAGCGCTGGGTGGGGCGTCCAGCCCGGCTTCGGGGGCGGCGCGGGCCTGGGGGGGTCTCCTCCGAGGTCCGGTCGCGGAGCCTTCTCCACGCGGCGGCAGGGAGGCCACCCTGGCCTGGCTCTCCGACCCTCCGACCCCCGGCTGGGCCCCCTCGCCCCGCGGGCGGCCGGGTCGCTCCCGGGGATGTGTCCCCGCGGGCTGGGCGCCGAGGCCACCGCAGGCTCCCGCCGGGCAGGGTTCGAGCCTCGCTGCGCCGTGGCCTCCGCGGGGGGCGGCCCGGGCCCGCGACTCGCTCGCGCCCCCCTCGCGCCCCCCTCGCGCTCCCCTCGCGCCCGGGCGCAGCCGGGTCCCGTTCCCGCCCCGCCCCCTCCCCCGCGCCCCGGGGGGTCTCGGCGGCCGGGGGAGGGGCGCCTCCTAATCAATCCCAGGCCGGAAATTCCTCCCGAGGGGCCCGGCCGGGCTGCGGGGCCGGGGCGGGGGGGGGGGGGCGGGGGGCGGGCTCGGAGCCTGGCGGGCCGCCCGGCCGCCCCTCCTCCTCCCCCGAGCCCGCCCCCCGCATCATGGAAACTGGGCCGCCAGCCGACCCCCTCGCTCCGCTCCGCTCCGCATTCCTGCCGCGGGGGCGGGCGGGGCTCGGGAGCTGGGCGGCCCCGACAGGCCCGCGGCGGGGGGCGCCCCCGGAGCCTCGGGATTGGGGCTCCAGACGGGCGCGTCCTCCTGGGGGGTTGCCCGTGACTCTCCGGTGGACGCACTCAGCGGCCCGCCCCGGGCTCCCGTCACTGGGCGCTCGCGGGGTCCCCGGGGGCTGCGCCCCGTGTCGCGTGCCCGCCCGCTACGCTGGATTCTCGCCTCTCCGCAGCTTGCGGGGCGGACCCATGAAGCCCATTTTCCAGGTGAAGGCGGTGAGGTCCACGGAGGGGGCAGGCTGGCGGGGGGCGGGGCAGGAACCGGGCCGCCTCCTCCGGGGAGCTCCCCGGACGGCGCCCCCGCGAGCCCGCTCCCGGCGCTGGCATGAGGGGCGCGGGCGGGCGCGCGGGCTTCCAAAGTGCTCGGGCCGCGCGCTCGCTGCGGAGCCGGGCAGGGCTCTGGCTCCCGGGCTCAGTTTCCCCACGTGGGAAGGCGCGGCCGTCCCGGGCCTCTGCGAGCGACGCTCCGAGCCACGGGCGCGCACACGGCGCTCACCTGCGGCCCTGCGACCTGGGCGGCTGCCGGGCTCCAGCGGCGGGGCCCCGGGGGTGGCCGCCCGCAGGTCCACGGGGCGGGGCCCGGAGGGGGCGGGGCCCGGAGGGGGCGGGGCCCGGAGGGGGCGGGGCCCGGAGGGGGCGGGGCCGGGCCTCGGTGGAGCCGGCGGCAGAGCCGGGAGCCGCGGCGCGCGGACTCGGACCCGGACCCGCCGGGGCGCGGCGGCGCCAGGTGAGCAGGACGAGGGCCCCGGGGCTCGCGCTCCACTTTCCTCAACTTTTTGTTGGGCCCGTCCGTCCGGGAAGGCCCTGGGGCGGGAGCCCGGTCCTCCCTCCCCCCACCCCCGCGGAGTGTGGACGCGGGCGGAGGCGGGACCCGGAGCGCGAGGGACGCGGCCCGCGGCAACTTCCCGGCGCGAGACCGGGGCCTCCCCGGGGCCAGGACTCCGCGCCCGCCGCAGCGTCGGGGCCCCCGCACGCCCCCGCCTCTGTCCCCGCGGGGAGCCCTCCGGAGTCGCTCCACACTCCGAGACGACCGGGGAACGGCCGGCGTCGGCGGGGGTCGCGAGGCCCGGCGCCGGGTCCCGGGGGCGCCCCCTCCTCGGGGGACCCCGGCGGGCCCCCCGGCCGCTCTGGGCCGCCGCCTCCAGCTGCGAGAATCAGGCTTTGGACGCGGCCGACTGCGGCTCGGTGCTAGGCCCCGGCCTTCCGCACCCCTTCGGCGCAGGGAGGGGGTGTCGTGCCTTGAGCTTCGGGGTGCGGATGGGGACTGAGCGGGGCGGCGAGGCGTCCTCCCTGGGGCCTCGCCACGGGTGCCAGCGCCGGAGCGGCTTAGAACCCGGACTGGGGGCAGGGAAGACGCACCCCTGGACAGCGCGGCCCCGGCCCTCCTCCCCTCCTCCCCTGCGACCCAGGGCGCCTGGGCGGGGGCCCCGCTCCCCCCCACGCCCTCCCTTGGCGGGGGCCACACGGCTCACGGCGCAGCTGCTCCTTGCCCGGCCCGCGCTCCGTCCTCGGGCCACAGGCCGGGAAGGGCTGAACCGGGCGGCCAGATGGGGCGGCCCGAGGTGCTGGGGCGGCGCTGCTCCGTCCGGGACGCGGGCCACCGAGGCCTCGGGTGGAGGAGGCCGGAAAGGAGGACAGGCGGCGGGAAAGGGGGATGATTCATCCCGAGGAGCTCGAATTGGAAACGCTGCAACCTGGGAACAGCCTTGCCCGGGCCGACGGGAGAGTCGGGGAGCGGGGAAGCTCTCCCGGCGGGGCCCCGCGCCCAGCACCTGCAGCACCCCCGCTCCCCGCGCCCTGTCCGGGCCGCGACCCGGCCGCTGGAGGAGGGGAGGCCTCTTCTGCGCGGAGTGGAGAGCAATCCTGGGCGAAGTCGGCCGCTGGTCTTGGTCAGAACGGTCTTCCTGGAGTCTAGCTCAAGTCTCTCCTGCTGCAGCTTCCGTGCAGGCTGAGGAGGTCTGAAAGGAGGGGGCGGGCAGGAAGAGGCGGGAGTCGGTGACACCCCCTCCTTCCCACGCTGCGGTATGTAGCGCGCAGTAGGGGGGAGGTGGGGCCCGCGAGCGACCCCGGCGGCCCGGGCGGGCCGAGCGCCCCCTCCCTCCCTTACTACGGTGCAGCCACGTGCGGGGGTGAGGGCGATCCCGGGCGGGACTTACCCTGGAGACGCCGCCGCGGGGGCCCGCACACTCCCGAGGCCCCGGGCCGCGGGGCTGGCGAGGAGGGAGCCGGCGCCGGAGCCCCGCAGCCCCGGAGCCCCGGAGCCCCGCAGCCGAGGATGCGCCAGGTAGCAGCAGCCCGCGCCCCCCTCCCTCCTCGCCGCCCGCGGGCCCGGCCAACTCCGGCTTCAGCCGCGCGTCCCTGGCTCCGAGCTGCGCTGCGGAAAACCCGAGCGGGGGCGGCTCCCCGCCTCGCGGCCCCGGGAAAACCCGGGGGTGGCCGCCAGGGATCTCCAAGCGGCCTGGGCGAGGCAGCCGGCTCTTGCCTCCCGGCCCCGGCCCCCGAGCTGGCGCTGCGACCCTAGGCCCGTCGGCTCAGTCCCCGCCTCCCCTCTCTCCGCAGAGCGCCCAGACGACGGCGAGATGACGGCCGGGAGCCCCGGAGACCGCGGGGAGGTGCGGAGGAGCCCCGAGGGCCGCGTCTCTCGCCTGGGCCGCCGCCTGGGCCGCCGCCGGCGCCCGCGCTCCCCGCCCGAGCCTCTGCGGGTGCGGGCGCGGCTGCGGCTGCGCTCGCCGTCGGGGGCGTTCGCGGCGCTGGGGGCGCTCGTGGTGCTGGTGGGCATGGGCATCGCCGTGGCCGGCTACTGGCCGCACCGCGCCGGGACCCCGGGGCCGCGCGCCGCCAATGCCAGCGCGCCGCCCCCGAGCGAGCTGCGACGCGAGGGTCGCGGCGCCGGCCGGGCCCACGGCCCGCACGAGCGGCTGCGGCTCCTTGGACCCGTGGTCATGGGCGTCGGCCTGTTCGTTTTCATCTGCGCCAACACGCTGCTCTACGAGAACCGCGACCTGGAGACGCGACGGCTGCGCCAGGGGGTGCTGCGGGCCCAGGCGCTCCGGCCCCCTGACGGCCCCGGCTGGGACTGCGCCCTGCTCCCCAGCCCCGGACCCAGGACTCCCCGAGCCATCGGCTGCACGGAGCCGGAAAGTTGGGACCTGTCCCCGCGTCGGGGCCCGTCACCTGTCCCATCAGTGCGGAGCCTGCGTTCAGAGCCTGCTAATCCTCGCTTGGGGTTACCTGCCCTGCTCAACAGTTACCCGCTGAAGGGCCCGGGGCTGCCCCCACCCTGGGGTCCACGCACCCAGACTGGCCATGTGATTATCACCGTGCAGCCCTCTGGTTCCTGCATTGAACATTCCAAGTCTCTGGATCTGGGCCTTGGGGAGCTCCTGCTTGGGGCCCCAGCAGCTCGGGACTGTGCTCACCGGAGCTGGCCACGGCTGGACCGCCTCAGTCTGGGGGGCTATGCCAAGTTGGGAGGAGGAGGGGACTTGGGAGCCCGGGTTTGAAGAGCAGGGGGACAGCCTGCTAGGAGGCTGCAGCATGGACCGTGCTAACAGGACCAGAAGTCCCAATGCCCAGTAGATGCATCAGCCACGTCCCAGACGAGATGGATGCTCTGGCCGCAGCATCTGCTAAGGCTTCCTGACTTGCATGTCGGCAGAGAAATGCCAACTGCACAAGGGTTCAAAAAGCTGGAGAGAGTGTGTTTTAATGCGGAGCCTGGAGACCAGCATGACTCGGCCTCGGGAGCTCGTTAAGCCTCCAAAAGTGACCTTAGCCTTGGACAGGTACCTGAGGGGGCTGGAGGTCCAGGTCAGGGTCGCTGGGAGATGCAGCTGGTGTCTCAGCAAACCCGAAGTGGTGGGCAACGACCCCTAAGACTTGGAAGGTAGGTTGGCTGGGATGTCACAGGCTGGGCCGGGCTCCCTGCACGGTGGCACCGGTTGTGGGGTTGGGGAAGATGGGCAACGGGGCTGAATTGAGACCCTCCACTGCCATCTGGGACGGGGACTGAGGCTTTACCTCCCACCACCTCAGCCCTTCTCTCCCCTCAGCCCTGCAGGGTCCACCCCACTAGGGCTACACTACTGCCAAAGCCTTCCTACTGAGGGTCGGGCCCCTCCCTGAACAGGTCCGAGGAACCCCCTTCTCTCCTTTGTCACAGCCTGTGCTGCAAAATCTCCCCCTGGCTGGCAAGAAGCTTTTGCCAGTTCTCCTTTTACACAGCGTTGAAGCTGCATTTTGGCCAATGTGGGTAGCTTACTTTAGAAAAGGGCTTGAATAGGGGTCTCCCTTCCCCATGTTTCGTTTTTCCCAGGTGGCTGGTAGGAGGAGAGAACTTTCAAAGTTGATCAATTCTCACAGACTGTCTTTTTTTTTTTTTTAAGTTTATTGAAAAATGCAATACAAGAAGCAAGACCAAACACATATCTAAACACTACACCACGTCTCTTACTACAAAAGGCCAAAACAGCAGACCTAATTATTGCCTTTTTAATCTAAGGATTTTGCCAATTTGATTCTGCTGGCATAATTCCTATTTTGTCAAGAAATGTAAACAACTACTTGATATGATTCATAATTTTAAAAAAATTTACAAAGCTCCTTCATTTTTGTCATCAAAATAATACATTTGAGAGAGATTTGTAAAAACAACCAGCCTGGGGCTGAGATCCTGGGCAGATATTTCCCACGAGCATTCCTTGGTGGCGGTCAGGCGGGAGCTCTGGTTCCTTTCCCAGGGCAGACGGCCGTCCCCTCCACCTGTCCCCTCCACCTCGTCTGTCCTGCAGGACATGCAAGGGTAGGGGGCTGGGCAGGAGGGTGAAGAGGCCCCCAAAAGGTCCCTGCAGCCAGGTTCTCTGGGCCCTAAGCTCGGAAATTTAGGTCCCGCTATGTGGGTGGGTGGGTGGGTGGGTGGCAGGGACCTCGTGTGGCTTGGAGGAAGTCTTCTCAAGTGAAATAAAAATAAAATTGCAGTGAAAGATGTTACTGTGGTGTGTCTGAGTCACTTCGGGAAAACTGCTGCCAAGTCTCTGACCCTGGAAATGAAGCTCTCTCCTCCCCTCTTTACCATTTCCACCTGGACAGAATCTGTTTTTCTTCACACACACACACCCACACACACGCAAACACACACACACAACTGCAGGAAGAAAAAAATCCAAACAATTGTCAAACCCCCAGATCTGTTACCAGAGAAGGAAGATAGGAAAGAGGCTTGGAAGGACACCCTCTCCCTAGCTCGTCCAAATCATGGCTTTTCAGTGCTGGAAGGGCATTTGAGATCTTCTGGTCCAATTTACAGTCAAGGAAGCAGAGAGAAGCTCTGTGAGCTGGTGACAGAGCCGAGGGGACGTGTAGGCCCCTGTTAGCGGGCCTGCGCTGTGAAAGCTGCGGCACCAGTGTGGCCAGGTTTCTGATGCTACGCTGTGCCCTCTTCCTTAGCCGCACCCTCTTCACTCCAGCTGTTAGCCTTGGGAGCTGGGAGCTCTCGGCAGGACAGCTGGCCACTGCGAATCGAGCTCACGTTACTGTGCTGTTTGATGGGAGCTGGGTTCCTAACCTCCCCACCGCTCCGGGCCACAGGGCCCAGGCGTAGACACCAACAAGCAAACACCATCATTTCAGACCCTGTGCCCACACGCTGAGACAGGACAGTCCTTCTGCCCAAGGTCTTCCTGTCACTCTCCAGAGAGAGCTGCCTCTTAGCAATAGTCTCACGTCAGTACTAAACGAAAAATGCACACATCCGAAGTCTGTTCGAACCAACTGAGTTTGTCTAAAGCGAGGCTCAGCCAGTAGAGGCTTTGGCCACACGCAGCTGGCTCCCATCGTGGGGAGCAGAGGTTTCAGACTTCTCTCCCTCGCTCACTGCACTTGAACTCCCAGAGACTGTGCTCCGCTGTCTCTCTCATGAAGTTCACTTCTGTCCCACTGTAAGACTCTTAAGAACTTCCAGGCAGATATGTTTGTGGGAAGCCAGCTGGAAGATTACAGAAGCACTGTTGAGTAAAAATGCCCCCAGATCTACCAGGAACGGTGGAATTGGGCCCATCAGTCAGCACATTTTTAAAACCAACCAAAGAACAACCACAAAAAAATTAGAAGTAAAATAAACCCACAACCCACCACAAAAATCAAGCCCACAAAACCTGACAGGCCTCAGATGGCGAGTGGGAATGAGCAGAGCTGGTGTGTGTGTCCCCGGTCGTGTGGGGTTTTGTGGGAAGGATGGCCCATAAAGGTCAGTTCCCTGGCTCCAGAAGGGTGTCTGCAGGCAGGTACCAGGCAGGAGAAGAAAGGTCAAGGAACACCACCTCCTCTCTGAGTCACACTTCCTATCATCCCAGGATTAAAGAGAAAGGCCCAGGGTTGGTCACCTGGAAATACTTCTTAGCAGGATCTGTCTGAGGTAAACCCCACCATTCCCCTGTGTGAAGTGCACATTCCCAGAACAAGAAAGCTTTTTTTTTTTTTTAAACCTCATCAATTTTCCTTGCCCAAATCACCACTAAAAATGTGCCATTAGAGCTTTTGGCCAAAAGTGCCTATTTTTCTGTGAATTTTGGTCTCCTGAGATGGGAGGTAGGGGGAGCACTTAGCAGAGCCACTGCTTCTGATGAGGTAAAAGGGGAGGGAGGGCAGGAAGGCGAAGGCCACAGATACGTTTAAACATTCACAGTATCAGATATATCTGAAACAACTTCTTACGTCTTTGATCTAAAGAAGCTCCAAAAAAGAAAGAATAGGAGGAAAGAAGGAAAAACAATACTATATTCTTAGCAGAGATCTCTGCCTCATCAAAATCACCCTCAACAAAAGGACAGGGATGTGTTCCTGGGGTCTGTGGATCAGGACAGCTGCCCTGCCTCACATGGTAAAGTCCCATCATTGGCTCTGAGAAAGGGCTGGTTAATGGAGTTTCTGCTGACATCGAAAGGGTATAAAACTAGAGGAGGAGCAGGAAGCCCCACTAAGCTGGCTTTGGCCCCCAACACAGCTGACAGAGTCTTTGGAGGATTTCCCCAAGAATTCTGTAGACCTGTCAGTATCTGGGTTGGAAATAAATGGGGAGAAGCTAGGTTGAAAGGGTTACAAACCACCCCATAAAAAAACAAACAAACCAAAAAGCTCTTTAAAAACAGTCCATCGAGTGAAAAGTTGAACAATTTCTGGTATCACAATATAGAAAAAGGTATTAAAAGAATCAGTGATGTCTAGAAGACTCTCTTGGTATAAACTCCAAATAGAAAATGAAATTAATTTTCTGGTGGTTTAGAGTAATTTTGAAAGCCTGATGTCTGACTATTGCAGGTAAGCTTCTTTATCATTTTGCTGGTTTTTCTTTCGGATGGGAGACAGGCAGGGATTTGGGGTAGGACAGTTCCTAGAGGAAAGAAAGCAAACTTTTTAAATCCTGCAAAGGAAGACAGCTACTCAGTCCCAGTGCCAAGCTCTGGGGGTCCCAAGTGCCAAGCAGGGTCGGAGCAGCTTTACAGAGCCCAGTCCTCCCTGGTGATTTATGGCTTCTTGAAGTCGTTTGTAGACTACTTTTAGGCATAACTTTATCTGGATCCCCAGCTCCCCAAAAGCAGCTATGCTGTTTCCAATTCTCTAGTCTGGGCTTCAAGCGTCAGTCATCTCTCCCCTGATCCCCAAGCCCTCATTTATGGACAGCCAGGCCCAGCTTGTCTTGGTTTTGTTCTCCTCCTCTGGCACTCCCATGGTTAGACACAAAGATACCCATGACAGAGTACAGAGAGAAGGGAAGGCTAGGTGAAGAAGCAGGCAGGGAACAGGAAGATTCAGGAAGTGGGGAGGTTTCCAGCCATGCCTGGGGACGTCCTCTGGACCACCACTGCCGACACTGCTAAGGGCAGGATGATATAAGGAGACCTTGTTGCTTTTGTTGGAGCCAAATGCTTGGTAACTTCTGTCTCCCTCACCATTGTGGATGCCTCTGGGTAATGTCCCTGTTCAGAGTTCTCTGAGGCGGGCACAGTGAATACCGTCCACCCCACCAAGAACAGCTCATACCTGAGCTCATTCCTCAGAGATTTCAGTCTCCTGATGGACGACCACCTTGGTCACTGACATGTCTGGGTGCTGCTCCTTTGCCTCCTTGATGGCCTGTACGAGGACCTGAGAGAGACAGAAACCATGCCCATCAGGCAGAAAGCCTGATTGGTGAAGGAAGGTAGGGGTCTCAGGACACCATTTCTCTGGCAAACTGAATCTTTCCATCTGCAGTACCAAGGAGCATTGAGGTGGGGCAAATTGCTGACAGCCTTCTCCCCCATACCCCCCATCCTGCAGAGGGAGGGTCCTAGATTGGAAGCACAGAAACAGGCAAGGCAAGAGGGACTTCAGGGGTGACAGCTGTACCTGCTGGGCAGGTCTGGGAGGATTCACTCAAGAAGTGAGTCGGAAGGACAAAGCAAAATCTCTGTTCAGTGTAGGGTAACCGAGAAGTTCAGAAGGGAAGAGAGAAATAAAGAAGCATGCTATAAAAAGAAAAGATCTCTGGCTAACAAAGAGGGAAGTAAGATGGGACAGCTTATTACATGCCATGCACTGGCCTAAGCACATCATCACCACCACCATCATCATCATTATTATACTTAATCTTCAGAACTCAGTGAATTAGAGCAGTAACATTGTTTCCACTTGTTTTTAAAAAGTAAGCTCTACACCCAACATGGGGCTCAAACTCATGACTCCAAGAGCAAGAGTTGCAGGCTCCACCCACTGACCAGCCAGGCACCTCTCACTGTTTCCATTTTGTAGACAAGGAAACTGAGGTTCAGTGGGTAAATAAAGTGGTTAATGTTTCACAGCTAGTAAGTGATGCAGCAGGGATTTTAACTTGAATCTATAAGGCTTTCTTCTTTACTACACTGTCCTTGAGTTTTGAGAGACCCTGTTTTGGCATCTGGAGGAGTTTTGATCATTTTAGAAAAGCTGAATGAAGCAGAGGGAAAGTCAGAGCAATGACAGCCCTACTCTCTAGCTGGACAGCAAGTCTCTGAGCCTCAAGCTCACAGCACCCAAGGTGGAAGAGCTTTGGGGAATGATGACGTGGGGATTCTCAAGAGACATGCCTTCCATCAAAGAGGACTCTAGCTAGATCTGACCACCTGCCTGTGGACACTGGCTCTTAAGAACTATCTCTAGGAGGGGATCCCTGGGTGGCTCAGTGGTTTGGTGCCTGCCTTCAGCCCAGGGCGTGATCCTGGAAACCCAGGATCGAGTCCCATGTCGCACTCCCTGCGTGGAGCCTGCATATCTTTCACTCTCTCTCTCTGTCTCTTGTGAATAAATAAATAAATAAATAAATAAATAAATAAATAAATATTAAGGAAAAAAGAAAAAAGAAAAGAACTATCTATAGGAGGAACAAGGGATGAAGGGAAGTTCCCAGTTGACTCTATGAAAGACATTTTTGGAATGCTTTTATAGGCCCCTGGTCATTTTCCTTGATCCTTTTTGCCCAACCCACCTGCTCATGTGTCAAAGCTCAGCCCAAGCCCCCTCTATGCTTACCCTGGCCTACAGCTATCTCTCCATGAAAGCCTGCACTACTACTTCTTGCTTTAAGTGCCTCCCCACCTGCCCATAGTACACCATGTCTTAGCCTCACCACGTATCCCTCATACCCAGGAGAACTGAGGGACATAGCATCTATCTGAGCTATCAAGTGTGTGTATCACAACAACCCAGAAAGAAATCTATGATTATCTTAATTTTACAGGTGGTAAAACTATAGCTTAGAGAAGTAAAATAACTTGCTCAAGGGCACACAACCAGTACGTTGCAGAATCAAGAGTCAACCCAAGGTTGTCTCACTCCAAACCCAAACACCTTCCGGTCCCACTGCTCTTGCTGTCTGGCACTGACTGAGCACATGGCAGGGGCTCAAGCAATCAGACCACGTGGGTGGGTGCAGAAGCTGGTAGCACAGCAGGATCTCCTGAGCTGGGGCAAGAGGCTGCAAGGCCTCCTACTTGGGCTTTGCAGCCTTGTTGCTGGGACCCCGAGCCTGGCATTCTCAGCTGGGAGTCTCAACCCTGCTACCAAGGGAACTGCCAGCAGTGCAGCTCAGGTTTTCTTTTTTTTTTTTTTTAGGCACATCAGCATAAAGGCCATGGAATTACTGCTCTAACACTGCTGTCAGTGATTCCAGAAGCATTTGCATGCAGTCCCTTCCTCCCCCTCTTCTCTGCAGCTTTACTGTTCTAACCTCACCCAGCAGAGAACGGGAAGCATTAATCCTGACCTTATTATTTGCTAATTGCTTGCAGCACACAATTAGCACCTAATTAATACAGAAACATAGAATTTTAGTGCTCAGAAGGGCCTAGAAATTATCTAGATCAACCTGCTCTCTTTTTAGGAGACAAAAAGGAATCAGAGGTAGTGTGGTTTGTCCAAGGTCACATAGTAAGTTAGTGACAGATCTAGGACAGACTTGAAGTCGAAGTCCATCTGGCTCTGCTTTCCCTCATCTCCTCCGCCACTTCCACCCTCTGAGGGCAGGGATTACCTCTTCCTTTTGTCTTGCTACCTTCCTCTCTCTCAGCACAGGTTCAGTACACGATATTCCCGAATAGCAACAGCTCCACCCACCCAGAGCCCACCATGTACCTCACCCCACAGTCCAACATCCCACGATTCTCACAACAGCCTTGAGGGGAAGGTGCCATAACATCCATCTTAAAGATGGGGAAACTGAGGCCTAGGAAGTTAAGAGCTAGAATATGGGGAGATCCTAGGATTTGAACCCAAGCTTTTGAGTCTAAGGCCTGTGTTCTATTACACTTCATGCTCCCCCACCTGCAGCCCCCCTCCCACAGACCTCTGTGGTCTGATTCCCTTCACCCTTCTCATTTAAGCACTAGAATAGCCCAGAGAGTTCCTGGGGATGAAGCTGGCCGAGGCATATTCTGAAAGCTAACTCCTGTCTCCATCCATCTTCCCACCCTGGGACCTCTTCCATGCCCAGAATCTCTTCAGCATCCCCACCTGATCATGGTCAATATCGGCATCTCCTGTGATCACAATTCTCTTCTCAATCCGGGTCTCTGAAATCCCACCTTTTACAGTCTGAAACCAAAGAGAGATCGTTACATGAGAAAGAAAGGAAAGAAGGGGAGGGGAGGGAGAAACAGTAAAAGATTATTCTGAAAGCTCTACTCCAAATTTTAATCTGCTGCTGGGTACCGTTTTAGATTAGCTTTCTTATCCACTTGTTCAAACTCTTAGCTGCACCTGCTAAAATGAGCACACCTCTATTCCCTTGGATTGCTAAAATCTTTAATAAGCAAAATGGAAAGTCACAAGTCTCTACTTATTTTTTTCCCTTTTTCTTCCTCTCAAAAATCACAGAAATTTAGTGAGTAAACAAAACCGACAGGTGTTTCTTTTTGTTCTTTTCCTGTACGTTTTGATTATTTTCAAGAGGAAAACTCAGAAGACTATGAACAAAAATGTCATGCAGCTTGAAATTAGGCTCTTTATTTTCAAGCATTTTTGTATCACTGGTATCAAAGGATCCTCAAATAATCCTCTCAGGGTGGGTAGGTTTCCCTAATTGACAGATGAGGAAAACCAAGGTCTAGACACATTAAATAACTAGCTTCCAGTCCTCTGTGCATTGATAACAGAGTTTCGTTAGAAATCTAGATTTCTTATGGACAAGAAAATATATTTTCCTTTAGTGCTGCAGCAAATATGGACTTGTATCTCTGATTTTCAGGGAGTAGTTTCAATTTTAGATAATTTTTCCGGCTTGCCCCCATAAAAAATGTTCTAATAATTCCAATATTTCAGCATGCAAACTATAGTCCTCATGGCCTGGGCACTGGACATGATAGAGAAACTCTTTGTTGGATCCTGAGTTTTGAATTTTAACTTGGAAAATATGGCTGCATAATAATGCCAATGACACCTGTCCTTAAATAGACTTTTTAAACTTACCTCCACAGCCCAGATGACTGGAGAGATGAGCAGATGTGTAAAGTCAACCACAGGTGACTTTAGGAGTCTACTAACTAGGTAGGCAAGGGTGCTCTCAGGGTCCCCTTGGTTTTATTGCTGGGGAAGCAGCAGGGCCTTTGCACCTGTGACCTTGGAATCATTGGGCTCAGAAGGGATGGACCTGGAAACCCTTGCTTCCAGACCAAGGTCCTTCTTGCAGAGAGGCAGCAAGCTTAGCATGCATGCCACTGGATTCCAGAAGGAAGTTCTAACTGGCCTGTTACCTTAGTAATCTGAGTTGTGGTTGTGCTGCTTGTGGTCTCAGATGTGATGGTCTGAGCTGTCAGCAAGACTCCCGGGTCTAAGTCCCCATTGCTGTCATCAGTCTGCAGAAAAAAAACACAACTCATCATCATGCCTCTCAGGAAAGCTTTGTGGGCAAATGTGGCAGGAGGCAGCTTTGTCCTTCAGCTGTATGTTCTCAAGCAAAAACCTGATTCCCTTATGGTAATGACTTCATAAAGAAAACAATCCCCTGGTGACAAGGCTCCTTCTAAGAATGCTAGATGGGTCAGTTTACTCGGTGCTGGGTCAGTGAAAGGAATGGATCAGAAAAAGGCAAGATTACAGCCACAGGCTCAGTAAGAGTGACAGTGACTGCACATGTGTATGCAACGTGCCAGAGTTCACAAATGGCTTCCAAAACATTGTCTTTTTGGATGTCCACACAAGTCCTGTGAAATAAATACTAAGGACAGAGGCTGATTAGCACTCCTAGGTAAGACAACTCAGGTCCAGAGAAGGTAGATGATTTTTTGCTCAAGGACTCAAAACTTGTAAGTGGAAGTTGTCCTCTCTACAAACCTGAAGCTCTTTAACACACCACCCAAGGCAGGAAAAGTATAAAGTCTTGTGTGCTAAGCCAGGGGTAGGTCCTGAATCATGGGGCAGAACTTTCCAGAAAGGACCAGGAAAGGTCCCTGCCAGGGTTTAAGGAGCCAGAGAATGTCAGGCTGTCTTCTTGGAAGACTGAGATGGGAGCCTGGAGCAAACGATGTAGGAAGTGTCCCTTTATGATACCATGGGAGAGGGACATCTGGATGGCTCAGCTGGTTAAGTGTCTATCTTTGGTCTCTGAGTCCTGGGATCGAGCCCCTGTGTTGGACTCCCTGCTCAGCAGGGTGTCTACTTCTCCCTCTCCCTCCACCACTCCCCCTGCTTGTGCTCTCTTGTGTGTGTGCGTGCATGCTCTCTCTCAAATAAATGAATAAAAAATCTTTTTTTAAATTAAAAATTTTAAGTTTTTATTATTTTTTATGGATTTTTTTAATTTTTATTTATTTATGATAGTCACACAGAGAAAGAGAGAGAGGCAGAGACACAGGCAGAGAGAGAAGCAGGCTCCATGCACCGGGAGCCCGACGTGGGATTCGATCCCGGGTCTCCAGGATCGCGCCCTGGGCCAAAGGCAGGCGCCAAACCGCTGCGCCACCCAGGGATCCCCAGTTTTTATTATTTTTTAAAGATCTTATTTATTTATTCACAAGAGACACACGGAGAGAGAGGTAGAGACATAAGCAGAGGGAGGAGAAGCAAGCTCCCTGCAGAGAGCCCGATGTGGGACTCGATCCCAGGATTCTAGGATCACACCCTGAGCCAAAGGCAGATGCTCAACTGAGTCACCAAGGCGTCCCTATAAATAAAAAATCTTAAACAACAACAAAAAAAAGGACACCATGGGAGGAAACCTATAGGAAATCTCAATGACATTTCTGACAGAAAAAAAACCTATTTTTGAAATGGACCATCCTTATTAGAAAGGGCTTAAAAGTATTTAGAATGCTGGGCTATGCAACTAATCCATACAGAGAATGAGGGCTGCAGCTACTTCTTGTTTCTCTAAAGCTCACCATATTATGACCAAAACAAATGTATTATGATCAGACTGAGAAATGACACTAGCAAAAATGAAGAGAGATGGCTATCAGCACCCCTGGGGCTGGTAGCAGGAATCAGAGCTGCCAACAGTTCTCTGACCGGGATGGAAACAGACAAGATGAGTAGGCTGGGTGCTAGGGGCTGCCCAGAGCCCATGTTGTCCTGAAAATAATGACCAGTTGGTCCTGGTATTATACACAGGCTCAGAGGAAATTTAGAGAATTGCAATTATTTTCAAAAAGAACTCTGCAGCGGGCAGCCTGGGTGGCTCAGCAGTTTAGTGCCACCTTCAGCCCAAGGCGTGATCCTGGAGTCCCGGGATCGAGTCCCACATTAGGCTCCCTGCATGGAGCATGCTTCTCCCTCTGCCTGTGTCTCTGTATCTCTCCCTCTCCCTCTCTGTGTTTCTCATTGATAAATAAATAAAATCTTAGGAAAAAAAAAAGGAACTCTGCAGTAAAAAAGGTGTTACATTACTATCCTTTCCCACCCTCTTTATATGTCATTTGTATTATAAGCAGAGGCCTCCAACCTGTTTCTGAGCAGGACCACATTCACTGAGGCAAAACATTGATATGGGGGGTGGAAGATAGGAGGAGGAGAAGAGAATTAGGAAGAAGAGTCTGGCTGAGTTCCCTTTCAGGTAAGAATCTAGACCAAACGAAGAGAGGGGACATGACTGTACTACCTAAATCTTACATACATGCCATCATCATGCTAGCTAGATTATTGGCTAGTTCACTAACACTTCAGCCCAGACCCACTTATCTACCTTAGATTCAAACTTGATGAATGTTTAATGTACTCCTACTATGTGCCAAGCACAGGATACAACTGTTACCTCAATTCCACCTCTTAATATCTCAAGTGGGTACTATTATTATCCTCGCAGTTCCGTTGGTCCAGAGAAGTTAAACAATTTGTCAAGATTCTATGGCTAATCAGTGTTTGGACTAGAACTTAGGACAAGAAACTTCTTGTCTGAAGACTGAGGTCTGGGTCCCAGCTCAGACATAACTAGCAATGGGATCTTGGGCAAGTCATCCCGACTTCTCTGAGCTTTAGTTTTCTCATTTGTAACAGGCAATACTGTTAATACAGCCCCACCATGGCATTGTTGTAAAGATCTAAAGAGATTGTAGAAGTAAAATTACTTTCTACATTATCATAAGAATAAAAATTTGCATGCCAGGAGGGCTAAACCTTTTTGAAGAGCTCTACCTCAGGAAGCCCGAGTGGCTCAGTGGTTGAGCCCCTGCCTTTGGCTGAGGGTATGATCCCGGATTCCCGTGTTCAAGTCCCACTCTGGGCTTCCTACATGGAGCCTGCTTCTTTCTCTGCTTCTCTCTCTGTCTCTCATGAATAAATAAATAAGGGCAGCCCCAGTGGCTCAGCTGTTTAGCGCCGCCTTCAGCCCAGGGCCTGATCCTGGAGACTCAGGATCAAGCCCCACATTGGGCTCCCTGCATAGAGCCTGCTTCTCCCTCTGCCTGTGTCTCTGCCTCTCTCTCTTTGTGTCTCGAATGAATGAATGAATGAATGAATGAATGAATAAATAAATAAATAAATAAAACCTTTAAAAAAAAAAGCTCCACTCTAATAAATCAGTGACACTATCATATTTTCCTACCTCCCACCGACTCCCTTATTCCCTGCTTTCTGTCTCTGAAGAAGCGAAAGATGGAGGAGACATTGTTATGATTTCTGACTTATACTCTTCCCACATGTGGACTCTTTTCACTGACCTTGTAACCAATGTTTCCTCAAAATGGTGCTGTGGCTTTGACAGTTGTTTATAAAGTTAAACATCCATTTATCCTATGATCCAGCAATTCCACTCTTAGGTGTTTACCCAAGATAAGTGAAAACATATGTCTACACAATGACTTGCACATGACTGTTCACAGCAGCTTTATTCACATTTGCTCCAAACTGGAATCAACTTAAATGTCCATCAACAAAGGAAAGGATAAACAAATTGTGGTACACTCATAGGATACTACTCAACAATAAAAAACAGGAAACTACAGATTTTTACAACTTTGATGAACCTAAAAAAACATGTTCAGACACAAAAGTGTACTACTGTGCACTTCTCTTTATATGGAGTCCAAAAAGAGGCAAAACTAAGCTACGGTTACAGAAATCAAAGCAGTGGCTGCCTAGAGGGGCCAGGAGCAACTAGAATAGTCTATGAAGAAAGTTTCAGGAGCAATGGAAATGTTCTATATCTCAAATGTGTCTTGATTACACAGGTAAATACATTTGTCAAAATCAATCAAATTGAATACTTAAAATCTGTGCCCATCCCTGTATACAGACAGGCTTTGCCTCAAGCATGCACACATGCACATATACATAAGCAGTAAAATCCTGTTCTGGCTCTCTTCTCACCATGTTCCCCAAAGTGTGGGAATTGTAGAATAATTAAAAGTTTGTTTTTTTTCTTTTTCAATTAAATCCTGGGCTAACTTGTTTGGCAAGATAATAAAAACTAAAGCAGAAATATAGTACATAAATAACAACAATAGCAAATAATTACCTGGTGTTTATAATTTACCAGGCACATTTTCTACATATTATTTATACCATATTACACTATGCTTTTTTTTTCTTTGCACTATGCTTTTTCATTTCCCCATTTATCATGTACATCATTCCCTTCAGAGGCTTTTAATAGCCATATAGAATTACCTTAATTGGATGTACCACAATTTATTTAACCTGTTTCCTATTGATGGACATTTAGGTTGTTTCCATGGTAGTGACAACTTAATTTGAAATGCACATTAATTTATTCCTTGCAATAACCCTATGAGGTGGAACTATTACTAGCCCCATTTTACAAATGAGGAAAATGAGGCACGCAGTGATTGAGTAACTTGACCACATACATAAGTGATGTAGCAGGTGTGAACCTAAGAAATTTGATTCCAAAGTCAGTACTTTCCCCACTATACTCCACTGTTTAGCATAAATAAGTATTTGTATTTTGAATGACTATCTTAAGCCTGGTTAAAATGAAATAAAGATAGATATGTAACAATATAATATAGCTACCATTACCTTGATCTGAATAAACTTATAAAGGCATTTTTTAGAAGAGAAAGCTAAGGCTTGAAAAGTATAAGTAATTTGCCAAGGGTCACAAAACTAGCAAGTGTTGGAATTAAGATCCAAGTCTAACTCCAAAGCCCACATGCTTTATCTAGCACATCATGCTGGCTCTACACTTCTCTTACACATGAGTATATTTTAAAATAGCTGCCTCCTTTTCCTGTTCTTGTAGGGACTACACTCAAACCATGTGGGCTTTTGTGGGCAGGCGGGACCTAACAATTTTCATGCATATGCTACAAAATTTGCTTCAAAACGGAATACGGTGAAATGTCAGTCTCCCACTCCTAACCACAGTCCTGTAGTCCCAGTCCCCTTCATTAGAGGCCACCCCTGCTTCTTGTTTTGTTTTGGGATTTTTTGAGTACCTATTCAGGGATAATATATTCATATACAACCCTCTTCTTTCCCTCCTATAAACAGCATATGATTTATACCATATTCTACCATGGATTTTTTTTAAAGATTTATTATTTTAAAGAGGGTAGGTGGGGAAGGGGTAGAGGGAGAGGGAAAAAATTCTCAAGCAGACTCCCCACTGAGTACAGAGCCTGACACGGGGCTCAATCTCACACCCTGAGATCATGACCTGAGCTGAAACCAGCAGTTGGATGCTTAACCTACTGTGCCACACAGGTGCCACTCACCATGCTTTTTTTATCTATTAATTTATCACATAGGTTATTCCTATCAGAAGTGTTTTATTTACTTTAAAAATATTTTATTTATTCATGAGACACACACACACACACACAGAGGCAGAGACATAGGCAGAGGCAGAAGCAGGTTCCATGCAGGGAGCCCAATGTGGGACTCGATCCTGGGTCTCCAGGATCATGCTCTGGGCTGAAGGCAGCACTAAACCGCTGAGCCACCCAGGCTGCCCTATTTATTTATTTTTTAAAGATTATTTATTTATTCATGGGAGATACACAGAGAGAGGCAGAAACACAGGCAGAGGGAGAAGCAGGCTCCATGCAGGGAGCCAATGTGGGACTCGATCCCGGGTTTCCAGGATCACGCCGTGGGCCGAAGACAGCGCTCAACTGCTGAGCCACCCAGGCTGCCTCAGAAGTGTTTTTAAATAGCTGCACAGAATTATATTAATTGGATATACTATAATTTCTTTAACCTGTTCCCTACTGATGGCTAGTTAGGTTGTTTCCATGGCAGTCACAATTTAAAGAGTTTTCTACCTTATGAAAATAATTCTTATATCCTCTGGTTAATAATGATGTGCACAATCTTAAAGTAATTTCCTATTCCTTCCTTCTTCAACTCCCTGTACTGTCAAGTCCTATTCATTCATTTCTGGCTCTCTTGACACAGCTCTTTCTTCTCATTTCCTCCAGCTACACTTCAGTTCTTTATAAGCATCTCTCCAGACCTGCTCTAGTCATATCCCTGTCTCCAGGCATCCCCCTACTTTAAAATATTTAGCACACAGCCTTAGGAATCATCTTCCAAAAATCACTGCTTCAATGATGCTGCTTTATCACCCCTGCTAAAACACTTTAAACAACCTCTCATTATTTACCCAATTCCACACTATAGACACAAGCAAGACGAGGGATGCATACTAACAGTGACTGAGCATCCACGAACACACCAAACACTGTACAGACATCATTTCACTTAATCCTCCTCCAAATCTTGCAATGGAAGGTGAGACTAGCCCCATCTGACAGCCAAAGAAACAGAGGGAGGGAGAGATTAGCGATTTGTTTAAAGTTATCCAACTAGCATGTAGTTAGTTGAGCTAGGATACAATTTCCATCTGTCTAATTGCAAAGCACGTGCTTTTAATTGGCAAGTGACACTGTTTCCTGAAAGGGATATCTCCTCCAGTTCATGGTGTGAGGATTAGCTGCAAAGATTTAGGTGAAAACACTCAGTCAGAGCTTCACATGGCCACCTTGTTCCTGTCATGCAGGCTTCAGCCAAAATGTGGCCTCCTCAGAGGATTTTCCTGACTATGCCAGCCTCAGAGGAACAACCTTTCATATAATCTCATATTCTCTAACTCTTTATCCTATTTAATTTCTTTATAACACTTATCACGTCTGAAATTTGTAACTTGTTTATATGTTTTATCTGTTTCTCCTAACTATAACGTAAGTTCCAGTGACTAGGGCCTCTGTCTACTTTGTACATTGCTTTGGCCTAATACATAAATGCTCAACAAATATCTGTTTATATTTGTTTATCAGTTTATAGAAGGAAAACTTTTTCTACCTTTTGGCCTCTGTGAATAAAAAAAGGAAAAAAAAATTAACATAAAGCAACTCTTAGCTCATCCAAATTACCAACAATGGAAAAATTTTACTAAAAGTAAACAAAATTTTTATTTAAACAAAATTTTAAATACTTAAATTCTTGTGTGATTTTATTTTTTTATTTTTTAAAAAGATCTATTTATATATTTTGAGACAGAGAGAGAGAGAGAGAGAGAGAGAGAGAGAGTGTGTGTACATAAGCAGGGGGAGGGGCAAAGGGAGAAGCATATTCTCCGCTGAGCAGCAGGGAGCCAATATGGGGGCTTAATCCCAGGACCCTGAGATCATGACCCAAGCCAAAGGCAGATACTTAACCAACTGAGCCAGCCAGGTGCCCCTTGTGTGATTTTTTTTTTAAGATTTTATTTATTTATTTGAGAGAGAGAGCACGAGCAGGAGGGAGGGGCAGAGGGAGAAGCAGATTCCCTGCTGAGCAAAGAGCCCGATGCAGGACTTGATCCCAGAACCTTGTGATCATGACCTGAGCTGAAGGCAGATGCTTAACCAACTAACCCACTCAGGCGCCCCTCTTGTGTGATTTTAAATTTAATTGTAACAAATAATAACAATAATATTTTAAAGATTTGATTTTTAAGTAATCTCTACACCCAATGTGGGGCTTGATCTCACAATCCCAAAATCAAGAGTTGCATGTTCCTCTGACAGAGTCCTCCAGGTGCCCCATAAATTATATTGTAGCTGTTATTTATTTATTTATACTTTCACACATGATGCTTAATTCAAGTCCATACAGTGTCATATCTTACATAATCTTCATAATAAAATAATGAGGCATGGGTGCCTGGGTGGCTCAGTCAGTTAAAGTGTCTGCCTTCGGCTCAGGCTCAGGTCATGACCCTAGGGTCCTAGGATGGAGCCTGGTGTCAGGCTCTCTGCTCAGCGGGAAGTCTGCTTCTCCCTCTCCCTCTGCCCCTCCCCCAGCTCATGCTCTCTAATAAAATCTTTTAAGAAATAAAAAATAAAATCATGAGGCAGATAATAACATCATGGGTGGGGAGTGGAGGGGGGTGGCAGGCAATCAAAGCTCAGAGACGTTCAGTTACTTGTAGTAATTGGAGTAAGTGGAGGAGCCAGAACCTGAACTCAGGTTTGTGTGACCCAAAGCCCATGTGCTGAACCATTACACTAGACTGCCTTCCCTAACTGAATTGGGTGGATATAAGAAATCAGATGCAAGACAACTTTGCTTTTAATGAAGTACTTTGGGACATCCTTAGATCATCCTTAGGGTATATGATATCTAAGATCAGTAATCTCTTCTAAAAGGAATTAACCCAGAAAAGCCTGGCATTATCTGTAGCAAATGATTGAGAAAGAAGGTTCTTTATTGTGTTTACTCCAGTCTTTGCTTCTGAAACATAATATCATGTCCCACCTGGGCAGCCTCATAAGTGATGGTCTTGGTTTCAGTGTGAACAATAGGGACATCTTTGGTTGGGATTTCACTCTTCACCAAGTTGGCAGTATCTGAGATGGTGACGGTTTGAGTCTTCACCAGGGGAGGCTGTGAAGCAGTAAAGAAACAAAGTTACCAGAGTCTCCTGATGGCTGTGGAGAACTAATCTTCTGACATTGATCTGATCAAAGTGATAGCTCTAGTCAAGCAAAGGGCTAGCTCAACCTCTGCCCAAGACTTGGACACTATTCCAAAGTAGCCTTGATAAAGTGTCAAATCATGAGGGATATTAAAAAACAGCATTACTGTAATCATTTTCATATGCTTAATGGAAAGCTGTAATATACAAAACACTTTAGACTGACCTTCAGAATTTGAATATAAAATTGTTTGCCAAATAACAGTCACTTTTGTTTGTCCTTGTGACTGTGCCATTATAATTAAGAAAATTAGTCACATTTCCTCCACTAACTACAAATGGTAGTACATGAAACAGCAATAGTATTGGATTGCTTTATCCTGGAATTTATTAACTTCTTTCAAATCAATGTCAGACATTCACTTTGAATTTATTGAGAAGGAACAATATTTGGAAAACTGGAAAGAAAATCATCACTTCTACCACCACCTGCTGATTAATCTCAGAATTTCAGAAGAATGAACATTAGTGGAGTATCAAAGACTTCTTGTCCATCAGTTCACCTTGCCAAAGACTACAGATCACCCTAATACTACCATTTGATTGTGATAAAGTGGCCATCCACCTTAGCATAGATTAGTGCCTGTGAGCATGGACGCCCTTATGAGTGGGGTCAGTGGGAGTGGTGGGCTGTACTATGTGGCAGCAATACATAAATAATTATTTGGGGTCTGAAATCTCAAAAAGAAATCAGTTTTCAATCAGTCCCTCTTTTAATGAAGAGTATTTGAATTTTTTTTGGCATGGCCTCAGAACACTAATGGCTGTTCATCATAAGAGTCTCAGAAACTCGCTTCTTTATATAGCTCATACTTGAGCAAGGAAGAGAAACCCACTTGAACCAGCTTCATAGAGATAAATAGCTGGAATTTACCCTCAAGAGTTTTAAGTCATCAGGGGAGAAAACATTTCTAGCCATGGAGTTAATTCCTCTGAATAAATTTATTTGTAGTAATCAAGGGCTTCGACTTTTGCTTCTGAAAAAAGCAGAGAGGCCACTGCCTTCACCACCACCACCACCTCCTCCACAGAACAGATTCTGGCCCTCTCCCAAAGTGAATCATTAGACCTGCATCATTGAATCGGTTACTACCTGGAAACTTCGAATGAGGGTGGGGAACTGGTTACCCACATGAGAGTCAAGAAATGATCCATTTTGCTTTCCAAGTGGCTCTCCTGGTGTAACATGTTCTTCACTACTCTCTGCCTTTTTTTCACCAAGTTGTCGCTGAGAGGAAGCTGGTGATACTGAGAACTTTAAGGCACTGGCCTGTTCCTCCACTCCTATACATTCCCCACTTGAGCCTCTTGGCATTTCCTTAATATCAAGATAGCCAGCTGCCCCCTGCTCCTTCTCTTCTGTCTCCTTGCTGCTTATGGAGAGGGAGCCAAACTCAAAGCTTTGTGGAGACTCCGACAGGGTGGTTATTTGGCTCTTACTAGAGATTACTGAATGCTTGGGACCATCCCATTCAGAGTCAGGGTTGGTAGATGGCTCCTTTGTCATGGCAGCCACCTCCTCTGTGAGAATGCCATTCATATTCTACAAATGAATGAACACATACAAAAGCAAGAAGATTAGGAATAAGTGGGGAATATAGTAAACTCTGAGAATCAACAATGATTTTTAAGAGGTCTCAAAAATATTAGTACTAATATAAACCAAGAAACTTAGCTCCTAAGGTAGTTGAAAGGAAGAACTGCTGTTCACTATATTAGTGCTTAAGCAGTTCCGACCTCATTTTGGTCATATTTCTATAACCCTGTTAACTTGAGAAATAATTTTGATGAGCCTCACACAATACCAAGTACTTTGTGTTACTATGATCTTCCCTGGATAACACATATTCTTCATACTTAAAAGAGTTACTTTGCCATTCCTAAATACCTAACTCATTACTATGCACAGGGAACAATGCAATTTATCAGCCAATCAAAACATATTCACTGGGAGCCTGATCAGGATGAAAAACGTTTCATATCTCCAAGCCATAAATATCATCACACTAGCCTCTAATGGAGAACTTAAATCTTGACTTTGGATGGTAGGGATTAAAATACTGAATACATCCAGAAAAGACTTAATCCAATCATTGTCACGCAATTAAATATCAAAAGTACTGAGGTATATAATAAAAGTGACCCAGCAGCTGAGATAGATTTCTTCATAGATGAATGACCTATGTCTGACCCCTAAGAAGTAAGTCCTAGAAACAATTCCGTCCTAGGCCAAGTGCCTCACACCATAGGAAAAACAGTACTTCCAAGAGATTGTGGATGACAAGATAACATCACCATGGATGTATGTAATCTTAAAAGTTTAAAGGGGGAGATACTATAGGTAGAAGAGAAGGAATTCATGTGAGTAAAAAAAGAATATGAGCCATATGAAAAACACACAGTCTGACTGAAGCCAAATGTCAGGAAAAGTAACCATGTACCTGTGCTCACCAGAAAGCCATGTAGGCCTGGAATTTTGGTAAATATCAACTTCCCATAGTACATACCACCTAGGAAAGGACTCTTTTAAAAAGGTATTCCTGGAACCAGTGACACATGCCTGGATCAGCTCACACACATTAGTACTCAAATCACGTTCTATGCATTCTATTTTTTAAAAAATCACTGCTGCTCTTTAACTTGTAAACCAACCTACATGGTGATAAATATAAACCAGTGACCTATTAAGGTGAGAAAAGACGCACTGCACTCAAGAACTTCAGGCCAACTTTACTTCTAAGCCATCTTGAAGCTGTCAACTCAAGAGCATCTCAGAGTGGTACAAGCTGAATTCAGACCAGGCAGGACTGAATATGAATATTACATACGGCATGAAAAATGCAATTGAGAGGACAACAGAAACTGTTTCTGTATGCAGACGAATCAGAGGTACATAAAATATTCTTGCTAAGGGTATATGAATTTCCTCATATTTAAAATGAGAATAATACCTGGTTTGACTCATGGGGTTCTGAAGATCAAATATAATAATACATGTGAAAGCACTTTGTAAATTCTCAAGTACCATATAGAGTCACTTAATTCAACCAACATTCTGAGCACCTATAATATGCCAGGGCCTTACTTACTAGAATAAATTAGTTGTTATTATTTACACACTGTATTACTTTCTAGGGCACTTTTCTCACCATTTCTTTTGAGTCAGACAAGCTGTTAGAGCTGTCCAAAAATAGATTAGCTGGTAATAAACAAATAGACTTTTTCAAATTGCTATATGCTAGCTCTAGCACTGTGAATAGCACATCTAAACCCACTCACATGGAGAAAAACTTCACAGCTTTTCCAAACAATTTTGTCACAATTGAGAAGGCTGATTTATAACCAGGAAAATACCTAAGACAATCAAGTTCGAGCCAATTTTAGACCAGTCTGCTCAAGTGATACATGGTGGTCTGTCATCAAGAAGCCTTTTGTGAACTGAACATTGCTTAGGCCAGCAACACCTGGCCCAAAATTGCCTACTGTTGAGTAAAATTAGATCGAGCAATCTTTTTTTTTTTTTTCAAAGCATGTATGGTGGAGACCACAGATAAAAGCTGCAGCCAGAGTAATATCAATTCAACAAATATTTACTGATCAGTTAAAATGTGTTAGTCATTGGCAATAAAAGGAAAATTAATAACAGCTGGGTTAGATTACCACTTAGAGCATTCTCACATATGGTCAAATGAACCTCCCCAGTTGGCTCTGTTGTCCAGATCTGGACAAAGCCAACTACTTACTGGACATCTTCCCAGCCATATGGAATGCAATATGCCCCACACTAAACTCATCTCTGTAGCTGCCTAGACCTGCCACCCCAACTTCCTCCATCATTTCTGTTATATTGGTAAGTGGCACCATTATCCATCCAGTCTTCCATGCCAGAATCCTGAAATCATCTTCAACGCCTTCCTTATAGTCACCCACCAACCCCCGTAAACTGCATCAAGTCATTTCCATTCTATTCCATTTTTTCTTTCTCTCTCTTTTTTTTTTTTTTTTAATTTTAGTTATTCGTTTGAGAGACAGAGATAGAGCACGAGCAGGGGGGAGGAGACAGAGAGGGAGAAGCAGACTCCTCACTGAGCAGGGAGCCGATTCGGGGCTGGATCCCAGGACCCCAGGATCATGACCTGTGCTTAAAGCAGACACTCCACTGACTGAGTCACCCAAGCGCCCCCTATCTGTGTTTGTTTCTATTCCCACCTTTACGGTCTTCATTTAGGCTATCGTAATGCCTCACTTAGCTTACTACTAATGCCCAGTTTTTCTTTCTTGCTTCTTTCTTTCCTTCTTTCTCATCTCAAACCTTCTTTGAACACATCCTCTACTCTGCTGCTAAAGAATTTGTATTTCTAAAATGAAACACTGTGAACTTCATTTTGCAGCTTAAAACCCTTCAGTGGTTCTTCACTGCCTCTGGTTAAAGTTCAGACCCTTTAGTAAGACATAGAAAATACTTAAAAAAAAAAAAAGAAAGAAAGAAAATACTTTAAAATCTGACTCCTATCTCTCCAGCTTCACCGTGTCATACCTCCACAGACACTCTTCTTTTCATTAATTCAAGACTATTTGCAGTTCCTAGAACAGAGCATAGATCTCTTTGCAAACCCCCCCCCACCTTTGTAAATATTGTCAACATTGTTTCTTTTGCCTGGAAGTCCATCCTCAGCTCAAGTGTCAGTTCTGGAAGTTTTCCCCTAACTGCCTAAAGTACGCATATGCTATTCCTCTTTTGTTCCTATTGCACCTTGTCATTGCTGATTTAGTAATCTGTCTTTCTTATTAGACTGTGAGTTCCTTGGAGGATGGGGTGGGGTGGAGATAAGGACTTCCTATGTTAGTTAGCTCTGTATCTCTCTAGTACAGTTTTTGGCATGTAATAGATGTTCAGTAAAAACTTGCTGAAAGTATATTCAATAAATCCAGGTAACTTGAGAACTTCTGCTTGATCTTGTGCTATTCAAAAACTGAAAAGGCATGCTTAGAAAGAACCTAAAACGTGGGAGTGCCTGGATGGTTCAGTCGGTTAAGCATCTGACTCTGGATTTTGGCTCAGGTCATGATCGCTGGGTTGTGAGTTCGAGCCACACTTTGGGCTGGGTGTGGTGCCTGCTTAAGATTCTCTCCCTCTACCCTTTTTGAACTTGGCCACAGTAACTTCTTGCAAGATACATCCACGAAAGCAAAAGAAACAAAAGCAAAAATGAACTATTGGGACTTCATCAAGATAAGAAGCTTTTGCACAGCAAAGGATACAGTCAACAAAACTAAAAGACAACCTACAGAATGGGAGAAGATATTTGCAAATAACATTTCAGATAAAGGGCTAGTTTCCAAAATCTATAAAGAACTTATTAAACTCAACACCAAAGAAACAATCCAACCATGAAATGGGCAAAAGACATGAAGAGAAATCTCACAGAGGAAGACATAGACATGGCCAACATGCACATGAGAAAATGCTCTGCATCCCTTGCCATCAGGGAAATACAAATCAAAACCACAATGAGATACCACCTCACACCAGTGAGAATGGGGAAAATTAACAAGGCAGGAAACAACAAATGTTGGAGAGGATGCGGAGAAAAGGGAACCCTCTTACACTGTTGGTGGGAATGTGAACTGGTGCAGCCACTCTGGAAAACTGTGTGGAGGTTCCTCAAAGAATTAAAAATAGACCTGCCCTACGACCCAGCAATTGCACTGTTAGGGATTTACCCCAAAGATTCAGATGCAATGAAACGCCGGGACACCTGCACCCCGATGTTTCTAGCAGCCATGTCCACAATAGCCAAACTATGGAAGGAGCCTCGGTGCCCATCGAAAGATGAATGGATAAAGAAGATGTGGTTTATGTATACAATGGAATATTACTCAGCCATTAGAAACGACAAATACCCACCATTTGCTTCAACGTGGATGGAACTGGAGGGTATTATGCTGAGTGAAGTAAGTCAATCGGAGAAGGACAAACAGTGTATGTTCTCATTCATTTGGGGAATATGAATAATAGTGAAAGGGAATATAAGGGAAGGGAGAGAAAATGTGTGGGAAATATTAGAAAGGGAGACAGAACATAAAGACTTCTAACTCTGGGAAATGAACTAGGGGTGGTGGAGGGGGAGGAGGGCGGGGGGTGGGGGTGAATGGGTGACGGGCACTGAGGGGGACACTTGACGGGATGAGCACTGGGTGTTATTCTGTATGTTGGTAAATTGAACACCAATAAAAATTAATTTATTAAAAAAAAAAAGATTCTCTCCCTCTCAGAAACCATGAAAGACTCCTAACTCTGGGAAACGAACAAAGAGTTGTGTAAGGAGAGATGGGCAGGGGGGTTGGGGTAACTGGGTGATGGGCACTGAGGAGGGCACCTAATGGGATGAGCACTGGGTGTTACACTATTTTTTGGCAAATTGAACTTCAATAAAAACAAACAACAAAAAAAGATTCTCTCCCTCTCCCGCTGCCTTTCCCACACATTTTCTAAAAAAAAAAAAAAAAGTATGTAGAAAGTGGCCCACTTGATCAGAGCCA